ATCGTTTAGATTAATCGATAAATTAGTCGATAGATTAATCGAAATAAAAATAGTCGTTAGTGGCAGCCCTAATTATTACCAAATAGTGGGTTCAATCTTTTTATCAACTGGCTTTCTTTCAAATAGCAGTTTTTTTTATTTCTTTTTCAAACTGACTGATCGTAGGCCTTCCTAAACTGCGTTTATGCACCTCATTTTTGAGTGAACACTGCCTAAACTATCCACAAATAAGGCTTTTTTTCCACTCCAAAACTGAGCTGCATAAGCGCAGATAAATGAGGCTGATGTCCAATCAGTTCTAAAAAAAAAAAAAGAAAAAAAAAAAAAAAGAGCACAAAACCCGTGCTAATTGATAGAAAAGATGTTGACAAAAAGATTGAATCTAAGATGTGGTGATAGTATAGGATAATGAGAGAGATTGACAAGCTAAAAGGCTGATTTGCTATTTCAACACCAAATTAGGTAAAGGATTTTCAGCACAGAAAGAGAGTTAAGCTGTTCCTGCTATGATACTCATATTTAAAATGTTAAAAATTCAGTAGTGTAAAGGTGAGTATAGTGTTGTTGATCACAGTGTGTTCGAGTCCGTTTCTTACCTCCCATATGCATCCTCATGTCTGGATCCCTCTGAAAAAGCAAACAAATTCAACGAATTAAAAATCCTCAGAAATGCAGACAATAACTGTGGAGCTTGGAAACCTCAGACAATTCAGACTCACCTTCTCAGAGAAGTTGCCTCCCTGCCCCTGCTGTCTCCTCATCAAGTCCTCAGAGTGGGCACGGAGCTCCTCCTCTCTCCTCCGTCGCTCCTCCTCCTGACGCAGCTCCATCTGTTTGCGTTTCTGCACTTCCTGGCTATGAGCCTCCTCCATTCTCCTCAACTCTTCCTGTCTGCGCAGGAGATCTGAAGCCGAGACAGAAACAGACATGACTAACTGCTGTGTGATGTGATTGCTGACTAGGGATGTCTCAAAATCAACTAGTTTGTGGTCTGCCTGAACTACTAGTCATCGAAATAGGCTGATTCTAGGTTCACCTGTCTATGCTTCGGTTCAAGAACTGCTAGAGGAAGTGCAAGGGCTTTGATTTTGAGATTATTAACTTGATATTACACCTACATTATACTTATAACTTGTATTAAAAACAACAATCATGATGGGACAAATTGAGCACAAAATGTTTTAATATGGAAAAGGCATAACAGCTAACACTATACAATTTCAGCCGGGATTTTCGGCTCGTTGACAGTTCATGAAGCTTGTCGACAAAAGGCCAAAATCAGAGACAAATGGGTGCTTGTTCACCCGAGTAATGATTGCTGTGTTTAAATGATCAAAGACACGATCTGAGAGAAGCACTGATGCCCAAGAGATAGTCAGCAGGTTA